CGCAGCGCTGCCCGCTGCCGCACCTGATGGTCGTGCACGTCGCGTTTGCTGCAATCGTAATAATACACGCTATGTCAAAACTTGCTACCGTGCCTTAAAAGTAATCCCATAATACTTTATCCCATCACTAGCACACAATGCTACTTTGCTTTTAGCTTCAAACATTCCTCACCCACAGTCCTACTTAATTTTCGGTTATCCAATATGGCTTGATGTTCATGAAAAATGTTTACGGAGTGGTCATGCAGTATTTAAACGGTAACTTATGCTCCATTGTGGGCGTGCGTATGTCGGAGATAATGAAATAATAATCGTGTAATATCAGAAACATTATCCTTCGACCTTTAATGAAAACTGCACAACACGTTCTAACCGGATTGCAAAGATTTACAGAGGTTAACCAATTGACTTTTTACGTGCACAGAACCAAAGCGCATCATTCCACCATTCAGAGACAACTTGACAACTGTCATCTGTTGATCGATCGTCGCCTTGACATTTATCAACACATACGGGGTTGTCCGCTCAAAAAATCAAATACTACCAATTTAAAACAATATCAACGTTGCCAGCACTTAAAATTATTATTTGATAGTAACTTTAATCGTAACAATTATTTTGCCTTGTATATTTTAGAATGACACTGGTCAATTTTCTTACCAATACAGGATCCCCTGTAAGCGAGCGGCAGGGCGCGGCCTCGCTCGCAGGCGGCGCGGCGCAGTGCGCAGGCGCCGGCGTAGGTGCGGCCGTCGACGGCGCAGACGGGCGCGCCGGCCGTGCTGCACGCGCCGCATCGAGCACAGTGCGCGCCCAGCTCCGCGTCCAGCACGCAGCGCTTGTCGCCGCCGCACCGCACGCCCTCGCACGTGCCCACTGCACACAGGTATACACCTTTCATTTTAATATATCAACGTCATCATATACAAAGGAACAAAACGGTTACACGATTTATCAAAAAAAATGTTGAAAAATTACTAAGAGTAAAAAACAATTTTCCAACCATTTTCCTTAGAAACACTGTAACATGATGTGGGTACTAGACGACGTAGAAATCTATACAACAAGCGACAAGACTATATAGTTTTAGTGCCGTCGCTTTCCTTCGGTCGAGCTGTATCAAGTTGCGGTTTATCGCTACTTTACTAACTCTGAACTCGTTAAGTATTTGTTTCACAGCTAAAATTTCCATTGCATTTTGACGTCAAACTTTAGTAAGTGTTTTTTTTCTACTTTAATAAGGTTAAAAAAGTCAAAGTTTAACGGATCTTTAATATACCAAAGTAAGTATGCTTTTTCTCCAAAGGAAAATATACTATTATGCGCTTCTTGTACGCAAGTTGTCAGACTAAACAAGTTCTTATATTTATTGACACTAATTAAAAACAAGTATCGTAAGTTGTTTAATGCATAACTAGGCTAATAGCGTACCGGTTACTTCTAAGATAAAGCCAACTAAAATACCAACGTTCACCTTAAATTTGCATCGGGATATTTTAAGGGTCAGTCGATTTGCATCTCGGTGCGAGCGCACAGGTATAGCTCTGGATATAAGCCAAAACCTGAATAATCAAGCCCAGATTTTCCTAATAAATATACAGCGATAGTTACGTCAACCTTTTTGGCAATGGTGAACGATTTAACGGAACAGAAGCAGTTTCCACGAATATGCATAATAGCTTGCATTAACTGAGGCATTTGGCAAGCGCACCGAGCAGATTATTCCCAAACTAATTATAGAAACGCAAACATATTGCTTCACAAATTAAAACTACTTTTAGTACGGATTGTTTGGTCTAGTGGTTACAATACCAACTTCCTTTAAATTAAACATTTTAAGACTGACGACGTAACGTAAAAACATAAAACATTACAAGTTTACTGATATATAATCAATTTAAAACTAAAACATCGCCTGTATATGTTGATAGTATTGAAAACCTTTTACCATAAAAACAGATATGAAAGCATCAGCTATAAAATTTTATGCACGATTATGCTAAAAATTTGGCACAATAATTTTTAAAATAGTATTTCCATTTAAATTCCAGAAGAAATGTGGTTCTTGGGAGAATGATCAAAGGTAAAGCTTGACAAAAGCCATGTTGACAGACGTACGGAAGTCGATATCCGTCAGTCGAATACAATGTTGCCGAGAATCAGTCGGTGTCACGTTTCGACCGCAACTCTATTTCTGTTTAAATACACATATAATTATAAATGTTAATGAAATGACGTAAATAACAAGGCGTAGCAGACACTATAACCTATACTTGTAAAATAATACATTTATAATTCAAAGTCCAAGTTTTCCAGAAAGTCTGTGTATGTTTCGACTGTTTGAACAACGTAAGAGTTAGAGGTTAAGATAGCTTAGGTCTGTAATAGTTTGCATATAACTGTTAAAGTAAAAGAAAAGTTAATTTAAAATGAATAAACCACAGGAAATGCAGTGAGAATATTTTATTAGCTTTGCATACATGTTTATATAGTAATAATGATGGACGCAAAATAATTCTTGTAAAGAAAACAGGTTATGGCACTTCTATAATTTACTTGTAATCAGTTACCCCAGAGCTCTGACATAGAATTACGCGTGAATAGAAAAAACTAGCAGGACGTGCGTTATACTGTGCATAGTAGCGTAACCATAAAAACTCGATAATGATATACTATTAAAAGACTCTCACTTAGGACGGACCTATTGGCGTTTATTCACTTATTCGAGTTTGTGAGCTGTAAGAAGTAGGGGAATCATTCACATGCGTGCACCACGAGGCGTATCCGCCGTACGTAGCCTGCATCGTAATAAGCTACTGACCACTGATGCTACTAGAGATGCAGTTTTTATACGCAAGTTTATTGAATTTTATATTGAATATTAAATATGAAGCATTATTAATTTGAAGCAATAACCTAAAGCTATATGATACAGTCGAGTTTTACTTTGGAAATTTCCTAGATTTAGCGAATTTTATAAACAAATTTAAATAAGAATCTTGTTAGTCTGTAACTAAACTGAGGTTGATAAGATAAGGCTTATTGCTGTAAATCGGCTTAATATTTCATTCTCATTAGACATAGACCAATTGATAAATATTAAAATTTGATGTATTAAAGTTGCTATTCTTCTTTTCTACAGAAAATAAGGTAGGCTGCCTCTAACAAAAACACCGTAAGGTCAGCGGAGGGTTAGCAATATTTGTATAAAGTAAGTATTCCAAAAAATTTGAACTGTAATACATTTAAGAATCGCCGCGTAAGCTTGCAGCTACCCATGCGATACAGGATCCTCTTTTTTGTCCAATGCTTGCGTATTTATTCACAGCCGGTTGGTAGATTGGAACGTTACTCGGAATTAATCAGCCTTCGTGGAGGTTTTTGTAAAATAAACGTCCGAGACGGGAGGGCGGCGCCGCTGTCGCGTGGCCGAGCGTGCGGTACCGACTTGAGATTACTATGCACGCGCATCTTTACAATCTATGGTATATTATGTTAAGCAATACATACTAGACATTAAAATATAGATGTAGAGAATCCCACTATGTGACATTCTCACGTGCAATTACACAAAAAATACTTTAATTTTTCATAATTTATTAGCAGATTTAAAGACGACACCTAATCATTAGTTTGCAAAAACAAAGTAAGGATCTTCATAAGATTTTTCAAACGAGGCCTAAAATGACGTAGATTAGTAATACTTATAACATAATAAGGATATTTAATTTGTATAGCATTAGTTGCTAGGCGAGATTTAGCGCCAGTCTAAAGTCGTTTGGCGCGTTGTTGCCAACCAGACAGTTGTATGTGGCCATTACCATGTTGGCATGACATTGTAATTAATAATCAAGTTTGTAGTACAACACCACAGTAAACGTTGGCAATTAAATTATTATTAAAACTTAAATCCAGCTTAAGCACACGCTTTTACGGAATTGATTTATACTCTAAAATATTTTCGATCTAGATAACTTCAGTTTAATTATGTTTTCAAAATGATAAAATTCTAAATATAATACAAAACTTATAGAAAATGTAAATGTCAAATATTTCTCACCAAACGCAAAGATTACGAAGTGATATTTTACTACGAAAAATGGAAATTCATTCACAAAATCTTGTTTATAATCAAACCCACGACACTGACAAATTAAAAATAAGGCTTAAAAGCATACGTGAGTTTGTATTCAAATGAAACTAACAGCGAGCAAATAATTAAAACTATTGTCTGTTGATTGCTTGTCAATACTACAATAGAATACTGCAGAATAATATTAGGTTATAGATTCAATTTTTCACGCTTTTCGCTAAGCTTCACGGATGAAATTATTCAATTATTGCCAATCTCTTAATTATCAAACATTTGCTTTTTTTCACGCACAAACAATTGTTTCAGTATTCTTTTTAACCGACACATCACTATTGTTTTTTCCACATTCGTATACAAGCTTCTTTTTCGGCTTTAGGTGATCTTACGTGACTTATTTGTTCGCTAAACTGTCTGCCTTAATATGCCTTAAATAAATAAGTATATAGTTTGTAACCTTGGCAAGGTCCGGGATAGTCTAGTGCGAGGTGCTTGGCGGGGCGGCGGCAGGCGCGGCGGCGCAGGCGGCACAGCGAGCGGTACGTGCGGCCGTCCGTGCCGCACACGGGACCCGCCCGCCGGCACGCCGCCGCGCACACGCACCGCGCGCGCCCGCCGCGCACCGCGCACCGCCGGCCCGCGCCGCATCTCACGCCGGAGCACGATTCTGTAAATATTACCACTGTTAAAGTACTACGACTAATGATATAGCTATGAATCCCGAATAAGGGACTCGGAGCGTACCCTAAGTTAGCGGAGACTCGGCCGTAAACAACTATGCTGGCCCACATATGGTTGAGTTCACAAATATCTTTGAATTTCTTTGGTGATATGTGTGGTTGCATCACGATTTTTTCCTTCATCGTAACAACGTCGGATAAATGTAAGTATATATGTAATTCAAAGGTCGAAAAACACATTGGTCCGGTCTGGTCTAGCGATTAAAAACTGCGCCTTCGACAGTCTATGTCATACTAATCATGCTTCATACTAATATTATAAATGCGAATGTTTAGATGGATGTTTACAGTTTGTAGTCTAAACGTCTGAATAGATTTTGATGAAATTTGGCATAGATGTAGAGGTTAGTCTGAAAGAACACACAGGCTACTGACTTTTTTTTAATATCACGCGGACAAAGTCGCGAGTGCAAGCTAGTTAATCTATGACGGTTTAGAAAAAACATAGATATAAATCTTATTGAATGGCTTAGTCAAATATGTTGCGAAAACAAGAAGACAATTATGACGCCCTAAAAATTAAGCTGAAACTTTTACAACAGTGTTTTGTCCGTCTAAAGGCACTTTACTAGAAAGCATTACTTGTAAATTGCACGTTTTATTCAAACGACGAAAGATTTTTTTACAACTAAAGCATTAAATTTATCAGCCCGAATAACCGGATATCAAATTTATTGCTGTAAAAAATTTTCGAGTGGCATTGATAATGTTGAGAAAAAAATATTAGCCAACTTATTTTGGTATAGGCAGTTAGACCAGATTCTACACTTCTGCTTTTTCTTATTTACATATGCGTGTTGTTTGTGTGTAATAGTATTCGAGTTGTACTCACACAAAGGTTGGTATCCTGTCCATATTGAAATGATTGAATAATGTTACCGAACGATTGGGAACTTGGTCTATTTACATTTGGGCTATATACATGTTCAAAATGTAAACCAAAATAGTGAATTGTACGAATTTATGACAATTTACATTTTTTTTAATATTTGAAAATAACATATTTATAAATATCTTTATTTAATATCGGTTCTATAACTACAAATATGTAAAACAGCATTTTTTTTCTCTAAGAAAAGTTATAAATCAACATTTATTAATAAATAATTCTAATATGGTAGATTGGAGAGGGTGATATTATAAAATAGCGAAGTTAACAATGTGACGGTGACATATTTAAATGCAAAATGATTAGAATCGACTATGATAGATGGTATGGAGATTCGAGATAACTGCAGCCTCGTGTATTATTTTCGTGTGGGCGACTTGTTTTATTTATAAGATTAATAATAATTCTGTTATATTTAAATGCGTTTATACCAGATTATGGTGGAAATCTATTTAATATAGAATCCAGTAGTTATTAAGTTAATTCATTACAAATTACAAAAGAATAAAATTCTTCGTATAGAATTATTTCATCTTTATATTTTGGTAGATTTTCCTTTACATGCCTACAATTATCTTATTAGATACATTGAGGTGGATGAATGTGTAATTCTGAAGTCTTGGCGCCGTCAATTTGGCTCTATTGTTCATGTAATCCAGCGTATCCGATCGACCGACGAATTCCCGCTTGACATAAACCAGTTTTGAATAAATATGAATTAATGAGATTATCCGAAATATTTGCGAATCATATACATTTTTAGCAGTATCAATCCTGTATAATAAATTAAAAGTAATGTTTTATTCAGTATTTCAAACATAACCAAGAAAATTTATCAGTTACTAGATGCGATGACTGTCCGCGCAGAATTTACAAAAAACTAGTAATAAACATAAAATATTAACTATCGCCTGTGACTCAGTCCGCGGGGAATTAAAACAAAACAAAAATAAGTTGTCTATGTGTTCTTACAGACTATGCTCTATATCTATGCCAAATTTCATCGAGATCCGTACAGTAGTATAGGGTACAAACAACAAACTTCCATGCAATCATTCAAATAAAATTTCGCATTAGTAAGATGTCACTCAATGACAATACCTTTCCAGTGTTTCTAAAAGGTTTTTGTTTATTAATTACGTACAAAAACCTATGTTCATTCCTAACATTAGTATACATAAGTCTTAAATAATCAAATTTATATTTAAACCTAATTCCTCAAGCAGAAAATAAATTGTAATAATTGCGATAAACTGTTTAGAAATGTATTTTCTAAAACGCAAACTACTGTCTGTAGTGTCGTCAGTCACTCGCAACAATAGCGATGTCGTGAATGAATGTATGAACGATGAATGAATGAAGACCGAGCACTTTAATACATCCCGGTCCTATCGGGCGATGCACTGCCGCCCTAATTATAACACGAGCAATATACCAAACGATTTTATTTAGTTTATTTTGTCTTTTATCTGTGCATAAAACAAATTTACCTCGACGTGTGTATCTCAATAAAGTCAAAAACCATTTGGCATATTCACACCTATATAATTTCGACTCGTGAAAATAACGAATTGATAATGTTTTCTGCACTGGTAAGACTATAGAGTATAAGTAATGGGTTTGTATGACATTACGTTAGAAATTAGAAAAAAAATGTATACGCTCCGTTACTCATGCGAAGCTGGGGCGAACCGCTAGTATGTATTTACAGGGTTAGAGTACTGATTGTGTTCTATTATAAAAGTGGTCGGGATCAGAAGAGTTTTACCTACTGTAAAATACAGAACATGCAATATCTGGTTTGTTGGTCTGTGTAAATCATACTTAATACTTACTTAATATTATAAATGTGAAAGTTTAGATGTATGGATGGATGGATGTTTGTTAGAGTTTGTAGCCTAAACGGCTGAACGGATTTCTACGAAATTTGGCATAGATGAAGGATAGTCTGGAATAACACATAGGTTTACTCACTTTCGTTTTTTTTAATTCCGCGCGGACGGAGTCGCGGGCGAAAGCTAGTTAGATATAAATATAGTGTTGTTACCATCGCATGCACTGCAAGGTACGCCGCCGGAGAGCGCCTTGTAGAAGAATATCTGTCCGCTGTCGAGGTCTCGAGGACTCCAGGCGGCGGGCGCGCGCGCGGCGCCTGCGCAGCACTCGGCGCGGCCCACGCGCAGCGCCGCCACGGAGCTGCAGCGCCCACCGCGCTCCATCCCCGACCAGCAGATCCCGGCTGCACACGAAATATAACTTTGATATAGACAGAAAATTAAATTCGCTTCCCACTGACCGTATTTCGCACACGTAATTAAATTAACCATTAATAAAACTCTAAGAGACTACAAGTAAAGATTAATCAGAGTTGTGGACAAGAACTGGCTAAATTAACGACGAATACATTTAGTTAAGCCTCTAGTCCAGTCTGTATCTACCTACACATTTAAACCCTATGACAACAATTTTAGTGAAATTAGCATGATCAATAATAAAAATGTTAATACACTAAATCATTACAGTTGCAAGATCGCTTAAATTGATTACCGTTCACGTAAAACTGAGAAAGAGAAGTATCAGAAGTCACGCGGAGTTAAACACTCCACCACGAAGCCGACAACTATGTTACTAAAAATAGCTGGGAATCGTACAAATAATGACTCTGTTTGTAATTTGAACCCGAGACCTGACTTACGGCGGGATCTGATCGCTGCGCCCGCGGCGGTCACGCGGGAGTAATGCTGAGAGCATTGATATATGAGACTCAGTAGCAACATCCAGATATCTAAAACTACCCAAAACAACTTGGAAGAAAAAATCAACAACTCACAACCCTACCTATACAACCTAGAAAGAGATGGATGGATTCCGTAAAAGGTGACATGATCAAGAAGGGAGAGATGACTGAGATGACGGATGATAGAGTTATTCGGAGGACGACAACCCCGGTGTGCCGGCCCTACGGGAGTAGGATAAGGTAGGGGAGATGATAACACTTAGAGATAAATGGGCATTATGAGCAAACTTAAGTATAGTTTAAGCAAGATCGACGAACGTTAAGCGACTGCTAAGTAAGTTAAATACTTCGATTACGTCAGTCAGTCAATATTAACTGCATATTAATATCGATAATTCAAGATAATGGAAGCAGACATTTTGGTTTATACCAGACATTATCTGCGTAGTTTCGTAATGTGAAATTTCCGTAAACACAGTAACAGTCACTTGTCCTTGTTCTCCTTGTGAACTGGTATGTATTGCTGATGTCTGGCCAATGGATATTTCATCAATGAATGAACTAAGAAAATAATTTAAAAGGTCGTAACCTATACTTACTAAACTGATACATTTTATATAAAAAACATGTATCCGTAATTATCGAACAAAGAAATATGTAGATAAAATACATAGAGCCACAACTTCGTGATAAACAAGGCTAGTCAATAACTTGAACTGAACTATAATTCTTTAAGTCTTAAGTAGTAAGCATAGACAGGACCGTACGAATAATTTACTAAAAGTAATAGTCATTTTGCAGAAAATGTTACTGATACGATTACAATTTTGATGTAGAATTATTTCAAATGTCCGCTCTATAGCTGATTTATTTGAATCTCTGTCTTTACTTATTTATTAACTAAGGAAAACATCTATCTCAGTCCCGGATATGAGCACATAAAGCAAAAAAACCTGATATTGAAAGCTCCCTGCATTACGCGTGGCGCCATTAGCTATGCAAAAAACTAGTTACGTTAAAATACTTCGTAGATCGAACCACTCATAAATCCTTTTATTCGTTTTCAAAATATCTTAGAATAAACTTTGATAAATGTATTGGGTTTTAATGAAAATCCAAATAAACAGTAGTAAAAAAGTATATGGTATTATTGAGTCGGAATAATTTAAAGTTCGTTCAGAAATAAGAGAAAATAATAAGGTAACTTTTTGTGGTTTTATAATACTGTATGACGTTTCACAATTATTTCAACATAATTGTGCATTCCGTATCTCCAACAAAGCGTCCTGTTGTAAGGAAATGAATCTTTTAATGGCGTCAGTAACGAATACCGGTTCCGCACAAAAAAATGTTCAAAAGCCGGACTGAATTATTTGTTAATGTGATAACGGCTTTTTCCATTTCATACTGACTACATTACTTTTATTTATGAAAGTGTATTAAAGTGCTTTTAAAATAAGAACATGAACATTTCGTTTTAATTCATTTCAGTGTGGAAAAGTAAATAATGGTCATATACAGCCGTAATACTATAATTGATAACATTGATTTTTGCTTAAGAGCATCAGGTTAGATACCTATGTGTCAATATGATCTATTTTTGTTTGTATTTAATAATAAAATGATGCAAAACCGGGTGCGCAGCGAAAGCACTTAGACTTTCTGCGATTATAAAAGTGCACACCATCGACATTTCAAACTGGGCATATTAAAGGCAGATTGTGGATAGCGTCGGATCGAGGGC